CACCATGCACTTATAATTGTATAAAAACACCGTGCATGTGCGTACAAATATGTACGTATCTTGGGAACCGATCGTGGTTTATTAACTACCCCCAGGAGGTCCTAATAATGTCTGTCCAACATAGCGATCTATCACAAGACCTCAAAACCACATGTGCAGTTGGTAACGAGACTGCTATGCATATATAAGCACAATAAACATCACGTCGCAGACATAGTACACGTAATGAGGGTGGCCCGTGTGAAGTGCAATATTTTCGAGTACAATTCCCCGCCGTCAGTTTGCAAAGCTTTTTATGTTCATTTTTTTTACCATACACATATCAAAGATCCTTGGCTATGGATATTACGATAGTAATGATTCGATGGCGGTGTTCGTGGTGTTAGCGGTGGCGAAGGCGAGCTTCACTCGGTGGATATTACCAACACCTGTGTGATAACGTCACCATGTGTCGACCGTGTCCCTAGACACGTATGTCGGAGAACGGACAACGACATAAAAATAATAATTGTAAAAAGATCGGACGGAGAAAAAAATATATTATATTTGATATATATATATATGTATAATCGCGTACGCAACTCAACCTAAACACGGCTGTACATCATATTTTAAATTATTCGCTTAATCCCCTTCCCATCTCTATTTATAACACACGCGCACGTTCAGACTTTGGAATTAAACGAACAAATAGTGGCAATATAATGGGCAGCTTAACAATCTAAAATTTGTTTTAATTAAATACATGACAATTTATGTAACAATAGCATGGAATTCACATGCTTGACTCCTATAAATAACGAAATGTATATAGGTTTTTAATTACGATAGTATTATTTTTTTTTTTTAGCAATTTTTTATTTATACAATTTGTTTTCAATACATACGTTTATAATTTTCACTTTATATTACATAAATTTATTCAAATTTTTCTTTACATATAATTAATTAATGATTGAAAATTTTAATTTTAAATATTAAGTGAGCCTGTTTTATATGAAAAAATATCACTTTAATAACTAGGCAACTATTGGCTGATAAAATATACAAAGTGAAAGATTTGTAGATGAGAATAGCATATAATTTAAAATAACTGTTACATTTTTTTTAATAAATTTCAACATGGCACTATAAAACATCCAAAAAATTATATTTTATTTATTGAATAATGGTCAAAATAATAGGTCATAGAAACACGTGTAATGTACTCTAAGGGCGAAATTAATTTATAATAATAAATAATAATTATATATATTATAAATAAATATTATGTATTATGTACAATTTCTTCCGTCTACTGACCAATAATATATTTAAAAATATTCACCGTCTTAAAGTTCATTAAAAAAAGAAAAATACGTAGCACATGAAGCAAAACAAATGTTTAGCTATGGGAAAATTGATATATTTAAAATTTTGCTCTCCTTTATTATAAGATAATATTCAGTTTGTGTAAGTGTGTTATTGAATTCAACTTAAACGAACAGAGGACAACGATAGGTAGAATTATTGAATTACGTAGTCGCACTTGGATGATATATTTTTAAACTCTTACGTACAATCAATATCGAATAGGTTTCTAGTTTCAAATAAATGCGAAAACATTTACGGTTTTAAAAGTACCCCCGAACTGAAACTATATAGAGAGTACATTAAATTTCGTTTCACCGTTATTTATTTATTTTATTATTATTATTATTTTTTTTTTTTTTACGACCGAGTGATCAATAGAAATATACGATGGCCAATAAACGGTTTTGGACCATTTGCCAAAAACCCCTCGAGGTGATACGGCATTTCTCTGCAATTTCACGGCACGACATTATTAGGTCCCTACCAGGTGTAGATTATTACTCGCTACGAATATTGGAACTCATTATCGTTAAAAGCCTCATGGATTGGGTTTTTTTTTTTTGGTTTGTTTGTTGTTATTTAGTTTTCAACAACACATTTCAACTCTTTGTACTTCAAACCTTATAACACAGCTGTAACTTTTGTTCGAAAAACATTCATGAATAGTGTACAATATACACTAGAGATACGCTTGTATTACAAACTATTTTTTACTATTATTATGTTCAGCTGTTGAAATACTTTCAATTGAAGATATCGCGATATCACTGAAATAACAATAAAATAAGGATAAGATACAAAACATTTAAACGTAACAAACACTCAAATACATTTCCAAATTAATTTGTATTCGAATAGCCGTTGCATTTTAAACCTCCCGCCGGTGTGTAATCTATAGAATATGATGACGTTTAACAAACCAACAACGATCACCATCAACTTTGGGTATAATATGGTTATTATTTTATTCCCATGAATATATTTATTTATTCCTTATTCATGACACGGTTTTTCTTTAATTGGTTATACTTAATGGTTTATGCCTAATGGATGTGAGTGTAAATCATGAAAATTGTACATATTATATTCTATCAAACGGATAACGTGACAAACAAATGTAATAATAATTTAATAACGACTCGGATAAAATAAAAACAGCAGTGTGTATACGGTATTGACTATTTCATTAAAACGAGTGAATAATAACGAATAAATTATAGGTATGACTTGTCTTCTATGTATAACTATTATCATTATTTATATAAACTATATATAATTCAAATAGTCATTAATTTACGGATTACTTGATATCAAAACGTACGAAGATTAATCATTACACCGTGGTTTCCTCTTATAACATAGATGTGCAATAAAAAATAATATTTTACAATTGAATTTTTAAGGATTGAAACAGTTTTAGTTTGACTATATAAATGTTTTCAGTTTTTGGTTATTTAGGAAATGTTTTTATTATAATAATATCATATATATTTATACGAATATTGTGCACTTTTTTAACGCAAATTTTTTAACCGATCAAAATTATTATAAATTAATATATTGTTAAAAAATTAAAATACACATCATTAGAACAAAATAGGATCGAGTGTTTTTTTAGGTATTTTATTAATAGTAGGTAATAAATCTAATTGAAAATAGTAAAACATCCCTGGTCAAGTGTAGATAATTTACTTAGTATTATTATGGATGAGTTTGTTCTTATTTCATACCTTAATTTTTTTTTATTTTCTTTTTTTGCGAATTAAAATCTCAAATATAAATTTAAAACCATATACCACTAAACTACGATATAAGATAAAAATACCATAACGTCAAAAGAAATACAATTAGGCTCTAACCATGGAATTCACTTTTCGTCGAAGCTAATGCTTATCCATAATTAATTGCTACAATAAATTAAAATTTATGAACATTATACTTTAATTTTTACTATAGTCATTGAGTTTTATAATATCACACGTAGGTAGGTGTGTTAATAATTTTGCACATGTTTACTTTTCGTTAGTATCGTTCATAAAATATGATTAAATTATTTCTTATTCCGACAATGTCCATTTTAGCAAGTACTTGGGTTGCATGCAATTTAAAACTATATAATATTGTCAGTAGAAGGATTGAGAACTGGTTCAAGTTACAAAGATTTATCGTATTTAATTTTAAACAGAAACAATTGCATTTTTTTTTTTTTTTTGTTTATTTTTTGTCATTTCATTATACGAAGCTATTTTAATTTCTGAAAACGCCGTACAAAACAAACCCATTATTCGAACCACCTAGTGATTTGTCGCCTCCGTGCTTCGCGGCGGAGGGGAAAAAATAAATAAAAAACTTTACAGGAAACAAATTCTACGGATGGATGTTTACGCGGTACCAAACGACCACACACACTCACGTGCTAGTGGTATAATTGGACAACGCATCAATAAAATACCGGGTTAGTCTCGGAAGTTAGGCGTCGAGTACGACGGGTCCGTTAATTGCGAAGGGATTACTGCGGTGCACTATTGCTGCTATTTTTACGAACACTGCAATCTGTTAATACGGGACGTTTTAGTTTTCCAGCGAAAAATATACGTGGAATACCGAGTGGAAAAGTTCATCCGATATTTCTCACTTGTGCACAATCTTTAACGTTGCACGCAAACGTTTCCAAAACACACACACACACACACACACGCTTGTGCGCACTCAACAACGCTTAAACATGCATAATATTTATTTATAACCTTCACGTATGCATATGTACCAAATAATAATTTGTGTAGACGGAGCAAGTTGTATTTATTTATGTCAGTAAATTTCACATTTTATTTATCTCTTTTTATTTTTATTTTTCTACGATGAAGAAAAACCAACACAGCCATACCTCAATCTCTTGCAATCATACCATAATCTCTTGCGCATTAGGAAATGAGTACGCACATCAAAATAATAGTACATTATCGAATGTAGTGTCGTTAGATATTTTAAACGGATCACCGTACGCGGTATGCATACCATTATACATGTAATAGGTGTACATGCGGATATCGGTTTATTTACTCTTACTGCAACTATCACCGTTAATCCGTTGCGTATAATGATTCCGAATGATAATTTATACATATGTATAAATTCCTATAGGATACCCTGTGTGTTAATATATGATAGTAAAAATCAATTACCTAGGGTTGTTATGCTAATACACGTGTACGTACAATGAGTACGGATAATATCTGATTAGGGTCAACTGCAAAAACGGTAAGTAACGCGAAATGCATGTTTGGAAATGATAATAATAAACACGACGAAATGGAGTTATGTATAATTAAATTGAACGACAATGATGGCACAGTTTCCACAGCGAAACCACTGACTCGTCTTATGTTTTCAGACGATAAACGTATCTGAAGGTTGGTACGATCAGTTGATGCATTAAAAAAAACGGAAACTATGTTTTTTTTTACTATCGCAATATTTTATTTTCTGTTATATATTATCAACTGTCTCAACGCAATAAACTCAACTCCTTGAACGTTAACGTTTTGGTTCCTTCGTGTCTATATGGTACCTATATTAGGTACTTTTTAGTTTCTCATTCTTACTAATATTTTATAAAACAATGGATTGAGTATTGTTTGGCTTACCGTATAATCTTATTGAACCATTCGCATGTCCCATTGAATTTGTCGCCAAACATTTGTACGTTCCGACGTCTTTGTACTCGAAATTTTGAACATTGAGATACATTTTTACTTTGTAGTTGGTTTTAACCTCTTCTAAGTAATATTTAGGCCTGAAATATGATAAAAAATTATTTTTACGCTAATTATTACTCAAATAGTAACAGGTTACATGTTTGTATTCGATCCATTTTCAGATATGGACTGGATGTATATATTTTTAATTTTTTGATCATGAATGAAATATTTTATTTTATCTAATATGTTATTAACTTTATTAATTAAGTTATGTGTAAATTATTATAGTAAAAGCTAATAAAAATAAATATTTTCCAATTTTTATCGATAACACATTTCATAAACCTTGTGTAATAAGCACCCATAAATTTTTAACTACAACAGAATATTTCAACCGTTATAAACCTCAAAGTATATATATCTACACTTAATATTTATATGAATTTAAGTACTAATGTTTTTTATTTATATGTTCACTTCAATTTATTTGTACATTAAGTTTTGCACTGTAACGTATAATGGCCAAAGTAGACGTGGGTTGTAAAATAAATAAATAAATAAAAACCATTAGAATATATAACGATTATGTGTTTTTTTTTTACCAAACATTATTTTTGCACTCGAAACAGTAATAATTACTCTAATCGAAAATAATAAAGTATTTCTTGAGCAAGGCTGGGTAACTCAGATAGTTTTTCAATAAAAAACAAAACATATTGAACCGTGATTATGTGAAAATATTTTAATCGAAAAATATGTTTTTATATTGTAAAGTACGAGTGTGGGCTAATTTTGAAACAGTAGTAATATCTACTAGAGCTGTTAAGGTAATGCGATCAAAATAACAATAACAGTAATAACAAAATTTCCTGTGACAACGGTTTAATGGTTCTTAACTGTGTACGTTTATTTATTTATTTATTAATTAATTTACGGAATAAAAGTTCCTTATTTAGTACAGTACACAATAATAATTCAGTAAAATAAGATAGCTAACATATACAAGGGGCGATGGCCTAAAAATACAGCAGAATTATAGGTACAGTAAATATAAAATAAAATAATTAGGATACAAGTAAAATTACATACAATAAATGTACAAAAATAACACAATTTAAGGTAAACTGAGAAAGGAGGGGTCCTCGTTAGCCAACCGCATCATGCGGTCAATTGGTTTGTTTTGACCGTAATTGGTACAGTGGAAAGGTATAGTAAAAGGAACTCGAGACCTTGTGGCCCGATGTGGAACTTTAAAGTTTACTTGGACGAGCAGTGAAGGGGCATTTATGGAACCATCGATTAACTTTTTTAAAAAGACCAGATTAGCTTTAACGCGCCTATCTGCTAAAGATGTAAGGCTAAGCGCGTGCAATACTGGAGTATAGTCATGAGGAGGATGGACAATTTTTAGCATGTAAGCTGCAGACGACAGAAAGCGCCTTTGTACTCGCTCTAAGTGGCAAGAGTCAATTACCACAAATGGGTTCCAGAGCACAGACGCATACTCTAGCATGCTTCGGACTAAAGAGCAGTAGACAGTCTTGAGAGATCCAGACAGCTTGAACTCATTCATGGTGCGCATTACGAAGCCAAGCGATTTGAGGGCTCGGCAGCAGATGGAGTCAATGTGTGTTTAGTTTTACTTTGAGCAGGAAATACTTGTATCTTGGAATAATTATTGCATACCTTTAGGCTCAAATCGGTGTAACCAAAATTGTCGAAAAAACTTGTAAAAAATACTTATTGGTATGATATTGGTGCTTTTCCACAAGCCATTATCGATAGTTGTTAGGGGCGAACCATCGAAGATGAATCATTCCAAACGAAAAAAAAAGATATTTTAGTTAAATAATTCTAAATAAAAAATATAAAAGAAATAATAAGATAATAATAAGTAATAATAAGGATTAATAAGAATTTATACTTAAACCAATAAAAATAATATCTTTACTTTTAATAATTAAGGTGCAAGCAGCAATACACATTTCTTTTTAATGTTTCATTCGATTCAGTCAAAACGAACAGAAGTTGGATTTAGCCGAACTGTGTTCATCACTAAACTTTACGAATTCAAGTAGTAATATTTTAAAGTTTATTGTTCAACTCATCTAAAATTGTCATCGAAATGTAAGAACAGTTTTGTTCACAACAATGTTTCGTCGATAAATTACAACTATTGGGCGATCGGAAAGATTTTTAATCATTCAGAAACCGCGAAGAAATTGTGTTTAAAATATTTTTAAACGCATGTGTTTGCCTCAGGCATTCTAGTCGTTCCGGACACTCGGTGATAATCGCTTCGAACCCCATCGTCCAAGGACTACGGTTCCAGACTGACACCGTAAGCGGTTTAAACGGTAAGGTAATTATTTCGCTTCCCCGACCAAACACCACCTCCTTTACCGCCAAGGATTACCCAATGGCAGTCCCTAACCGGTGCAAGATGAACCTATGACTATTATCGCCAAGTATCGTTTGGTTATCGCACTTGGATGGTAACGAACGCTCATCGAGGTGGACCGATACGGTTACAGTGAACCGGACACGAAAAGATCATCGGCCAACAAAAGCGCCAAGGATGACTGTCTCGGGAATCGCCGGCAAGTATTCAAGAAACAATAGCATTACACCAAACGTACAACTATGGTAAACGTCGCGATGTAATTGATAATAAACAACAACCGCATTAAGATATTGATAAACATTTCTGCCGGTGACGACCCTGGGTTGAGTTGTTTCACTCTCGGGATGGAGGAAAAATATACACGCGATCCGAACTACGACAAGGGCGTAGAACACGACGTAATACTTTACTTTGCGGTTACTGTCCGTATACCAATGCGCGTCTGTGATCCGTGCGAAACAAACTATAAACATCGTGTATTGCGATGCGCGAAGTGGAGGCCGTGGAATATTATTGTTATAATAATTTATTTCGGTGCAACGATAGATACGATATTTTAATCGTTTATCGACGAAAACTTTTAATTTTTGATGGCATAAGATTTTTTCGTTTGTACTAAAAACTAGTCAAAATGGTTCAGTGATTTTTATTGGTGCGAAGAAAATGTTTATGGGATAGGCGTACTCCGTTTGTCAAATCGAAATGTAGTAATAACAATAAATTATACGTACACTGGTCTAGTATCTACGGTCTGTAGAGAAAAAGAAAAAACACGAACATACGGATCGTTTTTGAATGCAGTTTTAAATACGGTATCCATATAAGTACTTTTTTGCGCCGCTACCGATCCTACAAATATGGCGGTTGTCGGCAACGACTTGCGTTTTGTGTTGAGGACGGGAATGCAGGAGGGTTAACCACAAATACAAGGTTACACAACCTTTAGGTCGGAGACACGTATATTTTTATAATAAATAATAAATTAGTGGACGCCCAAATAAAACTTAATCGTAAAATCTAATTAACATCAATAATACATCATATACAATAATAAAACCCGCTTTGATCGGCCCACTGACCACGTGGGGCTAAATAATAAAAATTGTGACCTGGTGGCGACTACACGGCTCTTGAAATGTTTCCTGGGTTTCCCCAATTTGTAGGTCTCGCCGGAAAATTCCACATATATCCTCCGTGGATCGAGGAAAAACAAAAAATCTCCACAAGTGCCCGGTCGCGGAGAACCGGAGCACGAACGTTACACCACTCAAAAAAGACAAAAAGGCTCAGCGGCCAACAGCTAAGCTTACGGCCGAGACACATGAGCGGGACCGCAGGAGGGCAGAGTATCCATAAAGATATCGTAACTCGTTCCGTGTTCGAATAGTACTAAATTTAATTAAGTGTGAGTTATTTTTTTTTTTTTATTATTATGCGAATTCATTATTTGTTTTAACGATTTTTTCTTTTGAATTTGAAATACTCGGAATTCAAAAGCAATTTAAATAAATAATACTTTTACACATCATACTATTCAATATACATAATAGGCGTCGCAAAGGGATCGATAGTAATTTGTAATATTCATCTCGTTCTACATTTCACTTTAATAAAGATTTTATTCATGTTCTACTTTTGTGATAAATGAGTTTTTTCACGTTTCCTAATTTCTAAAGGGAAAAAAAGAGGATTTTTAAGTTTAGTTCAAAACGCGTTTAATGTTTTTAAAAATATTGAGAAATATTTTTCTCTTGTGACAACAACTTCTCATAGAAAACCACTTCATTAATAATAATATACTTTATCACTTTGAATCATCCATTTCTTATTAGATATAATGTGGGTTGATATTTCTTGTAATTATTTTCTTTCGATATCATAAAGAGCACATAATAGCAGTAGTTTATGAGCCTATATTCATAACACGATACTAGTTGTATTTTTTCTGGATTTTGAATTTATTTATAAAACTTATGAACAGTGTAAATATAAATATGATAAAATAAAAAAATAGTTAAAAAGTGAAATTATAAAATAAAAAGTTTGAAAAACATGTAATTCGTTTCTTTCATTCTATTCACAATAAGATTTTTAAAATAAAATTGCACAAACAGTTTTAATATCTTAGAAGGCTGTTTATTTTTTGCTTTACAGAATCTTAATTTAACACAACAATAAGGTTATTTTTGTATCATTTTATTAATTTAATAAATTAAATTGGAATTCCTTTGAATATTTCGTATATGAATAAATACATTTTTAAAAAATTAAGTTCTTCATAAAAATAATATAGTAATATTGTTATTATTTATTTTCAATTCGTTTTTAACTCTTTAATAAACTTTAATTTTATGCATGTAAAAATATTATTTCGTGAATTATATTGGCTAAAAGTTAATAATAATATTTAAAATAATTTCATTTGGATTTAAATAAAACAAAGAAATAAAAATATGTTTTTTCATTGAAGACCATAAAAAAAGAAAAATAATAATGTTTATTACTATAAACTACAATTCTAGTAACTTCTAATTGAATAAGATTCTGTCGCGCACTCAAATTGGTTCACGGCGGCTAGTAACGGCGAGGAAGAAAACAACACTTAGAAAAATTTAATATAACAAGTATAGATGACTCGGCTTAATTTAGACAAACACACTGTAAATATGCAAATATATATAAAGTTAAACT